AAACACGGGGGTGCTTAACTTTTTTCCAGGTGTATATTTTGGACTGCCTTTATTTCTATTTAACTTAATGCCTTGTTGATGTTTAATCCAGGGCTAGGTTTTATTTGTGCACACAACCATGGTACTGTTTTTCAACATTATTACAAAAACATCTCTTTAATTATATGTCATATGCACTACACAATCTTCATGGACATTGTTTTAAGAAAATATTACCGTGGTCTTGAAAAACATTACCAAAATCTGTTCAACAGGGATGATGGTATAATTATCTACATTAACTCACTGATCTACTACTTTTTACAACATTTTTAATACAAAGTAACAGGTGTTTAAAAAACCTTCCCAGAACCAATTGATACCATTGTGATGGGTTGTTCTATACTTCTTAACTTATTGTCTAGTACTAATACCATTACAAAGATTTTTAGTATTTTGTAATATGTACTCACAAAATCTTCCCAGAACTGATTCACCATAATATGGTGGGTTGCTCTGTACTGGTCAACCTCTTGTTGATTCCTTTTGTCTTGGTAGTAATCTGCAATATCTTCTGTAAGGCTGAGTGCTACATGAACGTAACTCTGAAACAAAAGTTAAAACAGTAGTTAAACACAAAACGTCAAACTTATGGTTATTTTTTGATATCTGCACCAAACAGTAAGTAATTGTCATTATTATTTTTAAACAATGTATGAATTCTTAGAAAAATATTAGTGTCCATCACAAAAATGGAGCATATGATTTTGTTTTTAAAAAAGGTTAAATAATAAGCAGATTATTCAAGGAACCAAACAATACAAGCATTAACTATCCTTTTCAAATTCTTGTACATAGAGCTAATCAAAGCAATGGGCCAATAATTAGAAAGAGTCTTTATAGGACCTTGCCTAGGCTTAGAAAAAGAGATGACAATATCTTAATGTCACAAATAAGGAAATGTGTCCTCCTGCCATATCCAGTTAAAAAAAACAAACCCAAAAGATCATGAGTCACAGAATAAAAATAATCTGGTCTAATTGATATACTGCTGAACTGTATTGAAGAAGTCTAAGTCTACCAGAATAAAAGGTTAATTATTATCAAAAAGACAATCAGGTTGAATAAAATTTGGGATTCTTCAGCCCTTGTCCTGATAGTAATGGAAGTAGAACAGGTAGAGGTGTTCAAAGTGATGAAAAAACTCCCGAAATATTCTGGAAACGCCTTGTCAGTAAGGTATTTCTCAGTCATTTGATTTCCAGATCCTAAAGTTACGCGATGTAAACTTTCCATTCAGCTTTTGAACAGGAGATCAAAAAGATGTTGGAAATAAACCAGATTTAAGACTCCTAGATTTGATGTCTGTGTCCTGGTATGGGCCTTATGAAGAGTTCTTCAGTTGGCAAGAGTGGAATAGCTGCAAAAGATACTTCAGGCTCATTTCCGAGTTATGTGCCCTTTGGCAGTGAGGTGTCCATCACAATCAAGGATACCATGGAAAATAATGTCAAAGATTTAAGAGGGGTAAGTATATCTGTATGGATGATATGATCAGTTACTGTCTCCACACAGTATCAAGTTCCACGATAGTGGCAAAGGAAGGCCAGTTGGCCCTCCTCAGCACCAAGGTGGAAAGTTCATTTTGGGTATGATCTTGAGCCACAGAGGGCCTGTAGAAATTACACAAAAAAACAATGTTAAGGTACTCAGTATCTATAGATTCAATGGGTATGGATCCTAAGTTAGGATGTAAAATGTTTGGGGGGGGGGGGGGTTCTAGTGCTAAGAAAATTTACAAGTCCCTGATCTACAGTATGATGGTCGGGAATTAGAGCAGATAACACAATTTGGCTTCAATGCTATCACGGAAATTGTCACCACAATAAGCACAGACTAAAGAATCACTAAAAGATGTTTTGGACTGCCCAAGCTGATGACAGTGAAAAATTTGAAGAGGGTTATGAATACAAGGACACACTTTGCATCCCAAATAACCTGCCTTTACACTGGGCATGGTGACTTAAAAGTTAATATGAGAAGATAGCCCATTCTTCCAAATGGAAATTCACTTGATAGATACTTCCTGATTGGTGAAACCAGAAGGAATTTCCAATTCAGAGATGTGAAAGATATCCTTATTGATGAAGTCAGAATACTACGAGGGGGAACCCCAATGGGTATTCCCTCTAATAGCACTTGATTTTAAAAGAAGGTAGCTGTCTTATGGTCATAATGTTTTGTCCTACAAGTCTTTAATTTTTAGCAATTTTGGAGAGTTACAAGCTCCTCAACACCTTTGTACAAAGAGGGGAAACATCTTAAAAAGAAATGTATATTCAGAAATCAAGGTGAAGGACTTGGAAATGGTAATTGTGTGTCATTTGATTGTTAAACAAATCTTTTTTTTTATATTAAAATCAATAAAGAAAACATTTACAATTCTGTGCCCACTGATCCCACTCACCATAGAGTAATACAAAAGGACATGCTACACTGTCATAAACTTAAGACTTTAAAGGCATCATAGTAATGACAGGATTTTATGGATATTATGCTCAATTATATGAGATGTAAATGTTCTTAATGCTCATTTAGGATCTTTAATACTGTACTCAGATGAGCCCACAACTGAAAAAGTCACCTCAGGATCTCCCATTTAAAGGAATTCAAGGCTAAATTTAGTGGGTTTGTAAAAGAAGGTAAAATAATTGGAGAGTATAAAATAAATATTGACCAAGAAAGTAGTGTTAGTCTTTTGTCACAGTACTGTGTACAAACAGTGATGTTTTTACAAAGAGAAGCCTAATCTCATATTTAGTATCTGAATTCCCACCTCTACAGTTGCCAATGGTGAATACAAATATATGATCACCAAGACCAATTTTGGTCTCTTCTGGTGACTCACAAGCAGTGCTGCAATAAGACAGGTTAACTAGGCTAGAGTTTAGGACCTTTTAGCCACATCGAAAAAGAAAAACTGACCCCATTTCAATTTTTTTTTATGATCTGGGGTCTCTTAAACTTGACATAACTTAGGGCCTAAGAATGTTATAATCCAGCATTGCCCATACCTCTCACATTTGAGCAATGATATTATATTTGCATATTATTAATTTTCATAATTAAATTTATTTTCTAAATGTTTCAAACAAATATGGATATGTGTTTTGTTTTTTCCCAAGTATAAGTAAAACATTACCTATTAAAAATGAAATTAATTGTAATTAAGAAAAATTGAGTGCTATAACAGTTTGTAAACAAAAGCTTAAAAAAACAAACAAAACAAAAACACAAATAGGAGTAAAAGTAAACCTTACTAGCAAGAGAGAAATTATTATACCTGCATTTCTTCTGTAAAAAGACTCACATTCTTAAGGAAACCCTTAATAGTTTTTTCTAAAGAATGAAACTCTGAAGCAATGGCTTCGAAAGCTTCATCTTTTGGCTGGAAAAAACAACAACATATAAGCCAATTACTATTTTAAACATATATTTATTTGTAATCACACTATTTTAAATGAATTTTTAAACATATGTAACTGAAATAACTGGCTAATTCATTTTGTTAACAAGCTTTGAATATCTGATCACCATAACTACAATAGCAATGTGCCAACTACAAGACCTAACCTTCCAATTTTTTTAGATTGAAACAGTCTTTATGAAATATTTTACTTTGTTGACATTTTACTTTTTCACCATTGAAAAAATTGTTTCATAAACACTGCATACATTGGGTAACAATGGCATGCCTTCAAAGAATTCCACACAAGTATCTCTAATACAAATCTCTCTTACTGGCTGAACATATTACTATAAAACCATGAAATTCCAGGGGTAATTAATTTCTTTAAAAAATATGCATAGATGGAACTGTCATAATTTACTTGATACAATTGTTTTAAAAACTTCAATAACATTTATGTAATTACAAAGAATATTCATCAATGATGAATTAAGAGTTAGTCTTAAAATAAAAAATTACATTTAACTCTGCTATCCTTTTTCTCAGACAACTTGGATAACTTCATTAAGATAGTTTTACAAAGTCTTATTCTAATTATGAAAACTTATTATAAAAAATAACAATAGAAAAAATTTTGCATTTTTCTTTATAAGAATACTCATTGTTTAATTTCATTTCTTTTAAATACTAATTCTAAGATATTAAAGAAAACAAAAGCAAATACCACAGAAGTTAATCCAAGAGTTGTAGAGAGTTTGGCACTAAACCGAGATGACTTTTTTTTGACTGAATGAAGATTAAGCTTTGATATTCGGGTTGAAAGACTTGTATCTGTATCCTTCCGGTACTTGAATACTACAAACCAGAGAATATATTTACAAAGCTACATAAAGGAACATAACGTAATGTTTAAATAACACCATAACCTATATTAAACAAACATGGTTTCAATAAACTTACAGAATTAAAACAAACATTTGTTTATTACACAAAATTCACTGGTATTTGAACACATAAAACACACTTGCATAAATATTTTTATACCTTAGTAATGGTATGGTGTAAATTGCAAAATGTGTACATTTACCGTAAACAATGTTTATAATATTGTTCAAGTACTAATCAGGTAAATGCAGTAATATATTTGTTCTGAACAATAAAAGAATGACACTAATAAATTTCAAACTTTCATGAAAATATACTATACAACAGATAACTTACCAAGGTCTTTTCGTCGCTTAAATTCATTAATTTCTTTAGCAGCAGTATACATTGTAAGATCAGCTTTCTCCAGATCTGCTTTGCTAGGATGGCTGTTTTCTGTGCACTACAGAAACCAAATATCCCAATAACTATGTTGGCATTAAGAAATGAAAACAAAGAACACTGTGCTTTCTTGTGCATCTCCACTTATATCAGTTAATGTTTATGAAGAGTGAGTACACAATAGCAGTGAAGAACATTACATAGCTCTTGATCAAGATACTTGCTTTAAAGTTGAAACAGAAAACCAATTTCTATTTTGTGGTTAAAAAAAAGGAGCTCCTAACACTTATAGATTGTAAAATTACATCTAAAAGTGTTCTAATTAAGTTCTAGAAATGCAGATGTTACAATATAAAATTTCCACTATCTTAAAGCACTTACAGGTACCAGTTCTATAATGAACAACCATCCAGCATTTAGAAGGGTCCTTAATACTAAACAATACTTATTAACATTTAGAAGAGTCCTCACTAGTTAAGAAAAAAAAAAGAGAAAAGAACAAAGATGCCAGACTGATTCGATCAGATAAGCTTGTTTCCATATTTGTTTTTCAGGATAATCAACAGTCTGTTTAAAGGCTCCATGAAGTTTACCATTCTCCTTTGCTCCTAAACAAGATGGGGTGAAGATGGAAGCAACCTCTAACTGCAACCTAAACCAACACCAAATCAATGTTCACAATTTTACAAGACTGTAGAATTAACACAATTGATCCAGGTTATACTATTTGAACCAATATGGCCAACTCAGTTTATCAAGTCTGGGACTTTACAACACATCAGGGAAGCTACCAAATCAACTGTCATGCTGGTTCTACAATGTTTCAATTTCAAACATGAGCCATTTTCACTGCAAGGCCCAAATGTCATCAGATGTATAGACTAGTACCTGGTAAATAAATATCCCATGAGGAAGGAAGATGCCTGTTGGCAAACTATGGCAGACTTCATGCATACTCCAAGCTTATCAGGTGCCCAAAACTAACAGTATTCTCAACTACCAAAAGGACCACAACCACCAGCTAGTAAAGCACTGTAGTTCTCAAATAGTACACCTAGGTCACCAGCACAACCAAGGCAACAAATCCCTCAAGCACCAGTCCAATAACTTTTATCTCAAATAACAATACTTCTATCAATATAGTGATGAGTGATACATTGCTAAATTTAGAAGTGAGGGTTGCACAATCTACCTTCCCCAAATCTGATATAACAACTGATAACAATAAACAAACATTGTAAGATGAGCTTTCTCCAGATCAAATACTGAAATACTGAAACGTAGCACTAAAAAAATAGATTTAAGTCTATCTGCAGCTCGACTTCTTCATAATATAATCACAATAAGATACATTTCTAATGTTAAATCACTGTGATGGTAGAGCAAAGGATATCAGCAAGATCCAGTGCTTGTGATTATATGTCGCCCAGATGGGATGAACTTTAGAAGTGAGGGTTGCACAATCTCCCTTCCCCGAGTCTGAGATAACAACTGATTATCAAACTTATTATCTAACATGGCTATCAAACTTACTAATTAATTAGAAATTTAGAAAATCATTGCTTAAGGTATATTATTGTAAAGCAGCAGTATATGCAAGGTAAAAGAACTTTCAGCTAATGATAACTTTATTCTATATGAAACATTCCATATTAAAGTTAACATATTCCTTAACTGAAAATGCATTTCAGATAAATAATTAGCTCTCTGTATCATGAGCTATTACCTTGTGCATAACTTTCTACATGTCACAATCCTCAAACAAACTCTCACCCCTACATACGTTAACATGCATTGTACCATGAACAGGAAGGTGACACAGTATGATCATAGACTTGTTCTTGATAAGGCAAACAAAATGCACTGGAGGTGAGGAGGTGTTACAGAGAATTAAGCATCAGTTGGATATATATTTTTAGGTAAGGAAAATATTAACTTCAGAAACATTACTTGCCTCTCTGCACCAAGAACTAGAATCTCACACTGAAGATGGTGGAGGGATTGGTCCTGATCAGTTACAGAGTTGAGCTCCTTTCTGAAACAGAGACAGAAAGGTAAGGCCAATGGGGTGCTGCTTCTACAAGAATGGGTTCCTGGTGGGGCAGTGCCCAGTGTGAGAAGACCACATCCTTCTTAAGCAGAGGAGTTTCTAATGTTCAGTCACTGTGATGGTAGAGCAAAGGATATCAGCAAGATCCAGTGCTTGAGGTTACATGTTGCCCAGATGGGATGAACGTTAGAATGTGTAGCACGAGCTAGGGCTTTAGGCTGTTCTGTATTGGTCAAATACTTACAAGATAGCTACTACAATGACAGGTGTACAGTAAGGTAGAGGAGCCATCACCTGCATCCTAAGGCAAATCTAAGTCCCAACTGGCTGTACATAACCACCAGGAATTGCTTTGTAAATAATGTAATAAGGTGTCTTGTACTACATTACCAGTTAACAACCCAGTCTCATATCTCAAAATGGATGGGGCCAATCAGTTTCTTACTTGGGGGAAAGGCATCAATTGCAGAGAAAACTTTCCCAGAGACTTAAGACTGGGGAAGTAAGAGTTCTCCTATGCTCCACAAGAAGGAAAGGGGAGTGTGTGCATGGACCAATGTCATCAGGGACAATTATTTGAAATTGAGCCCTCACTGAGAGACAGTGCAATGTGTTTACAGCAAGCATGAGACAGGTGTGAGGATACTTTTCTTTTTTTTGTTTTTGGTAAAAGATGCAGAAATAGCCAGGCCAATTATGAAGATATACTGCAAAAATTGGATCTTGCAAATAATTCCATTTCAACAGTGAGCAGTTTAAAAATTTTCCTACTCTCCCACTCAATGTGAATTTCGGGTAAGCATTCATTGTGAGGGCTAGTATGGCCTCATAAAGAATGCTTACCTGAACTTCACATTGATGACTGCTATAGTATATCACCAAAGACTGAAATCCACAACCTGGGATTTGCTCCATTAAGTGAGCTAAAAGGACAAATACTGAATGTCAGCTCCATGAATAGACAATGTGCTTCTATTCCCCAATGACTCAGTTGGAGAGAATGTCTGGGCCTCAGGATGTTTTTTCTTTTCTTTTTTGTATTTGTTATTGTGAATAGTAAAAAGAAGAAATATGGTGGATAGAGAAAATGATCATGCTATCAAGTGAATGGAACAAAAGTAATAGCACTAAAAAAATTAATTTATGTCTATCTGCAGCTCCACTTCGTCACAATATAATTACAATACAGAACACAATAACGCATTTGTCATGACTGTCAAAGAAAAAAAAAAAACAATCTCTTCGCTTGTTATTGGAAAAATGCCTTTACTAGATCTAAACACCGTTGATGCTTATATTTAAAATGTAAGCAAAACAACGTGTACATTACACAATAAAATTTAAAATGACTACATATTTCGGTAGCTTCCGCTATCATCATCAGGAGTAAAAATCTATGCAAACAGCGGGTTTTTATATAATTGTTGGACTAACCGTAATTCACAGGGGTGACATGAATACTATAATTGTGTAATATAAACGTTGTTTTGTCTATATTTTTAAATAAAGTTTATTACACAATGTTGCCCTATTTTTATTTTACCCTTGATTTTGATAACTTTAACAAAGTTAACACAAGCATTTCGTACAAATGCTCTACAATTAATTCGTTCTTCCCTGAATTTAACCTATACGTAGAACATATGTTACTGAAATCAGAATACAATCATTAAACACCTAAAAAAGTTAACTCCTGCTGAAGACGGCATTCCTAACCTCGTCCTCAAAAATGCAGCCGAAGCTTACATATCGGTGCTTTATTCAATCTGAATATTATTTTCTCCTAGTATATACTGAAAGCCGCTATAATTATTTATCCTAAAATATACCTCAGAACTAAATATCCAAGCAATTATCGCCCAAGTAGCTTCTGAATAGCACAGGTAAACTTCCGCCAAAAACAATTTATGCAAGATTCATGTAGTATTTTGAAACCTATAACCCCCCTCACATAAACACACGTAAACTGACGATAATCTACTAGTACTATGACTAACAGTTACAAAGTTTTAAAGGTAATCAATTTTTTTTATTCCATTTGGCATAATGGAATCAACGATGCAAATTATATATACCTACTCAATCTGTTGGATTTCTAGTTTTCTTTGTAACCGATCCGTTAAAAGTAAAATCGAGAACTCGATCTATAACACCTTTCCGTTGAAAGCAGACTCATTCAGTTTGCAATTCCTTGCTGAAATTACCGTCACTAACGACATATTCGTTTACGGCTGTAAGAATACAATACACGCGTCTCAAAAAAGTTGACATCGCTTTCTGGAGTATGTCACGTGACTTCCTTTTTCTGCATATGAGCATCGAGAGTTCAAAGTTTTCAAATTACGTCACCACCTGACGCAATAACTAGAGAGTACCCAAACATAACACAAGCAATCGTTTTTCACAAAAATATTTAAAGGAAACTAAAGAAATCATCCCATATCAAATTAAAACTTTATAACACGCAGATAACTCTCACTAATAAATTTAAATTTCTAGTGATAACATTCAATAACCAACTAATATGTAATGATCACTTTAATATTATCGTTAAGGAAGTTATTCGCACTCACAGAATAAGCTACCTTCGTGAAATCGGAGGTAGCGTCAACGATTGTAATTCATATTCAGTTTTACTGATATATATAAATATATACAGTATATAATGTATACATTAGGCCTATTTTAAAGTACACTAACATGACCACCTGTAATATGTCAAATTGTTCGTGCAATAACTGAGTAAGTCAGAGAGACACATCACCTTCCAGTTTACACCTATTTATTTATATACAATTAGTGACATCCCTAAATTTAAAAAACTATTACGACAGCGGAAGTCGCGTGACGCTGGGAGCATGCGCGCTGGAGTTTCTAGAATTATCGGGGAAGCCCACGAATGTCCGAGTGTTTGCTAGACGCCCTCTTTTTTAGTATATAAGCCTGGCAAAGAAAGCCAGCGATACGCAGATAGATTGCAGAAATAGATAATTGAGTCAAGCGAACAGTAT